GGTGCCCAGCTCAGGTGCGCCGAGTGGAGGGGGAGGTGGCACCACCACTGCCATGGGCGGGGGTGCCAGCAGGAACTTTGGCAGCTTCACCTCAGCCACAGCACCGGGCAGCAAATATGGTGGTTCTGTTGGAGGTGGAGGCGACAGGGGTAACACGGTGCCCAGCTCAGGTGCGCCGAGTGGAGGGGGAGGTGGCACCACCACTGCCATGGGCGGGGGTGCCAGCAGGAGCTTTGGCAGCTTCACCTCAGCCACAGCACCGGGCAGCAAATATGGTGGTTCTGTTGGAGGTGGAGGCGACAGGGGTAACACGGTGCCCAGCTCAGGTGCTCCAAGTGGAGGGGTAGGTGGCACCGCCACTGCCATGGGCGGGGGCGCCAGTGGGAGCTTTGGCGGCTTCACCTCAGCCACAGCGCCGGGCGGCAGATGTGGCGGTTCTGTTGGAGGAGGAGGCAGCATATAGACTAAATTTTCAATCAAGGACCTCCCCCCCCCCCGGGTGTCCCGCTTTACCAATGTTAAAATCTGGTCACCTTTTTCTAAACAATCTCCATGTTTCCAGTGTCTTTCTCCCCACTTGGAACTGAACCCAGATGGACATTTCTTCCAACATAAGATAAGAAGCCATAACCTATGAAACTCTAACATTTTAGTAAGATCCAAGTAACAGGGCTAGAGCTTTAAATTGCTGAATAATCAGTTGTTCACTAGAGAGAAAAGACTAGCTATATTTCAAAAAGACATGTGTGGATGAATGGATGGATGAAAAGTTATATAGTAAACCCAAAAGGAATGAGCATAAATAAGCGAAGTATTTGTGTTGGCGAGGGCAGGAGTTATAAAAAATATTCTATTTTTTATGATTTCTTTCAGCAAGCCTATGAATTACTCAAAGGGTCCTTTAAAACTCAACAAAATCCCTGCAATGATTTTAATAAGCAGGCCGTTGAACGATTATATCTCATGGGCTGCATTTGCCTAGCAGAGGAGAAAATAGGGGAGGCCTATCAACTGCTCAGTAAGGTAATTATTAAATTAAGTTATACTATCAGCTTGAACAAAAAAAGACCATCTTGGTGGTTTGCAGAATGTTTTGAATTTGAAATATCTCATAGTTGCAGGAATATTGTTTTGAATTCATGATGTTTAGGAATTTAATTGTTATTAAGAGTTGGTCTCATGTCACAAAATTGTTCCTAATTGTTTGCATTTCAATGTATTATTGCAAGTGCCCCCCAAGTTCAGTCTATCAACAAAAACTTCATCCTGGTTGCTTCATCAACACTACAGTAGAGAGAAGCATCCAGTCAACCTAGCTGTCCATTGCAGCTAGAAATCTTAAATACGGCCAAGAATGAATGTTTCTCTTGTAGCCAGCCCAGATGCTAAATCGGCCCCCTGCAAACTTTCGTCTCTTGAGGAGCGCTCACTGAAGTGGTACATGAAACTTCGGCTGGGCTCTTCGAGATGAGCTTGCGGGGGCCGATCTAGTGTCGCCCCCCCCTCCCGCTGCAACAGCACCAGAGCGTGGCGAGTCCGGGGTGGATTTCCCACCCCTACTGTTAGTTCCGTCCAGTTCCATCTCGCATGGCTCACACTGCTCTACTTGAGGTGAGGTTTATACTCAGCCGAAGGGTGGGGCCGGCAGGTGGGTGGGGTGATGTGGGCGGCACAGACTTGTGTTCCCGCACGGACCAGATTGTTTGGGGGGGGGGGCATATCTGGCCCGGGGGCCGTAGTTTGAGGAAATCTGATTTAGTGCAATATCAAAAATGCAAAAATGCAAAGATTTCTCTGTGGACCACCAAAACTTTCTCACGGACCACCAGTGGTCTACGGACCACCAGTTGGTGACCACTGCTCTAAAGCACAGACTTGGTCTCAAGATTATTTTTATATTTCAAAGGTGGCTTTAAAAGACATTGGTATACATAAAACAACCACAAGGAATTAATCGTCTCTTGTATTTTGAACCCATGCAGTGTGTGCAGATTCAGACTGCTATTTATGGGTCCCACCACAAGAAAACGAAAAAGATACAAGAGCTAGTAGATATGATGAATAGGTAAGTTTTAATATTTTTAAAGAAATAGGATTGGAAAAGGATATGCACAATAGATATCCAGACTTTGTAGCAGCAAGGTTGGGAAGGCTGTTTGACTGGGAGACAATTCATGCATCACTCTACCACGCAAACATTTTAACATTACTATTCTAAGATAGGGGGATGCAGTGGCTAAGACGCTGAGCTTGTGAATCAAAAAGGTCAGCAGTTCAACAGTTCAAATCCCTAGCGCTGTGTAACCGAGTGAGCTCCCATTACTCGTCCCAGCTTCTGCCAACCTAGAAGTTGGAAAACATGTAAAAATGCAAGTAGAAAAATAGGAACCACCTTTGGTGGGAAGGTAACAATGTTCCGTGCGCCTTCGGCGTTTAGTCATGCCGGCAACATGACCACAGAGACGTCTTCAGACAGTGCTGGCTCTTCGGCTTTGAAACGGAGATGAGCACCGCCCCCTAGAGTGGGGAACGACTAGCACATA